AGTGGCAGACCAGGGCTGCTGGAGCACATCACCACAGGGTAGGTCCCTGGGCAAACCATGGGGACCCAGGGGGTGGTGGAGGGTGGCAGAGAGGTAGGACTGCAGCTCCAGCTCTCATATTATATTGGAAAGAAAATGCTAGCATCAAGCAAGGCAAGACGATTTCCTGATTGACGGGAAAGTCAAAGTTGGGAAGGATCCAGACCCTTCTGGAGATCATCTGCTCTGGGTGAGGGCAGAAGCTTTGTAATAGAGCTGGATCTGCCCCGTTCTCCTCCTCCAACAGCTTCCAATAACCAGTGAGGAAAACACCTACAAAACACACCTCACTGCTACATACCACTGGGAATTGGTGTAACTGCAAACTACACACAGCTTGGGTATCATGAAACAAACTGCCCAAAGTGCTCACTGCACTATTGCTGTCCACAGAGCTCAGTGGCAGTGGGTTGCAGGAGAAGAAAATGTTCAACCACAGAGAACATGTTGCACAGACTGTGAGTGTAAACCTTTCTGGGTGCACAACACTTGGAAAGCCCCATGAATCTTCCTTCCCCTTGGCAGCCCATCTCTGTGGAGGCTCCCGTCAGAAGGAGGGTCGTGGGTTTTGTGTAAACTCCCATTACTGACCAAAACTCCTGCAGAAACAAGGAACAAATCACAGAAGCCTTCAATGAAAATACCTTACTTGTTCCTGTGGGTTTTCAGTGGTCATCATGGAGGTGGGAAAAGGCTTCAAAGCCATTTTCTCCCTGCAGCCACACCAAGTATGGCTGAGTGGAGATCACTTGTGAAATAGCAGGTGCAGATTACCTCTGTGTCCAGTATGGCAGAGTTATCACTGCAAACAGGATTAGTTCTAAGTGAAGAAACTGTAAATGTGTAATTACAGATACAATCCTGCCTGGGCCACAGCAGGCTGCTTTTTTTTCTTTTTAATTTTAATAATTTTGTTTTGCTGCCTCTTGAAATGGTGGCCTGCAGTTTTACATAATAACCTCACTAATAACCCACTTTCCCAATGTCAATATGAGTAACATAGTAATAAGAGTCCCCTTCATCACAGAGCAGAGTTTTTGCTTGCAGAGAAGGTGGGAAGCAGCTTTCACCCAGCAGTTATTGCATTTTAGCTGATAACTCATTATCTGACATAAACAGATACATGTGCTTCACTTCATCTTAAACTGCTGATTACCAGATAGAGGCATATCCTGCTGCCAGAGACCACCAGGGGAAAGGTAATTACGTCTGTGCTTCAGCTTAGCTAGCAAAGGCTGGAAGGGTGATGCTGGGTGTGCAAACACACAGCGACCAGGTAGGGAGGGGGTCAGATTTTATTCTCTCTGTCAGCACTCCTGCAACGCACACTGGCCCTGCAACTAAAGGCAAAACCAAACCTTTTAGGTCAGTCCTTTTCTCATCTCCAGATCAGCAGGATCTGTTCTTCTCAGCATGAAGCATTGTCAGTGTTTTATTCCAGTACAAAGTTAATTCAAATCGCTGCTATTTTGATGTCCTATTATTTTAGATTCAGTTCACACATTTGGATAAGAGTATTTGACCATTTGGACATCAAGAATGGAGAATCAGAATCAGTTCCTCCATTGCTTTTTACTTCCGAGTCCAAAATTTCTGCCTGTAGACAATGGTTTTGTGGGCCAGCTATTCCTTGCTGAAGGCACAGAGGAGAAGGATGGGCAGCAAAGATTTCTGCAGATGGGATTCTGTTCAAAAGACTGGAAACAAAAGAGCAAAATCTAAACTCTATTACTAATTTGGACCAAAAAATGTGTGTAGCATCAAACCACCAGAGCAGTTATTGGTAGGAACCAGGTGGACTCTATTAGAAAGCGAGGAAAGGAATCTTTCTTCTTTGTGATAGCTGCCAAGAAACATGCTTGTTTCAGCTTTTGCCTGAAATGATAGATGAGGGCTTTGAAACCCAAATCTCTTTGGTTTTATTGCTCCTCCCTTTGGGACATGGGTGCTGTGGATGTTCATTACTCACATTGGAAACATTTGCCACAGGAAGCTCCTGGAACAGGGTTTGGAAAGCCATGAAAGCCCTAACGGCAGCTGAAAACATCAGTGCTGTCCCAGCACTTGCTGAATCAAATTATTAAGTGCCAACATAAATTAATGTTTGTCTCTGAGTCATTCCCAATTTTACAGAGTCCAGGGTTTTCAAACTCGCTTCCTACCAAGAAAATCCTCTCTCCTTGAAAAAGAAACCCCATTTTGGTGGCAGCAGCTTCCAAAATATGGAACCGTGCTTTCAGAAGTCTTGCTTCAGTCTCCAGTAAATTCCTTTCCATCTTACCTTGCCCAGTGAAATAACTGGAATATTTGCATTTTTTTTAAATCTGGATTTTCAGTAGTCATAAAGCATAGGCCAACAAGCCTCTTCTGCAAGGCTATTTAGTTAATTAATATTTATACACAGAAGCAAGGCTCAAGAGTTAATTATGAAGTGTTATTCAATGATCCTGAACAGCTGGCTTGAGAATCCAAGATTTCACTGAAATTGAATTAAGATTCCTGCCATTAGCACTTCAAATAAGGGAGATAAATACAACAAAAGCATGAAGCAAGGAGATAGAGCTCTGTCTGGCAAGCCTGTGGGCTGAGATAACAAACGTCTGTCCCTGGGGCTGTCGCTGAGACAACTGGGGTGCTGCAGGCAGTGGGTCATGTTTGTCCTCGAGGGGAAACACTGAGCCCACAGCAGCTGAGGTCTCTGCTGCTATGCCACACTCGGCTGGTGGAGGAGAAACAGGGGAGACCTGCCCTTGGCTGCCTTCGCTCCCAGTAGCCCCAAGCACTGCCCTTGCACTGGCTCAGCGCGGACCTTGCATGTCCGTGGGGGCTGGCACTACATTTCTGGGGGACGGGTGCAGCCCCATACTCCTCTCTGTGGGCTGTTAAGTAGGAAATAACTGAAGAAAGCAGCTGGGTACAGGCTGACACTCACATCATGCCCAGCGCTTGTGCCACCAGCAGACATACTCCAACTAGCACTGCTCACCCTTCTCCACTGCATCTCCAGCCAGCCCCTTTTTCCTGCTGTCTCCCACAGAAAGGAGCTGAATATAAAAGAGAGAGTGTTTTCTCACCATCACTCAAGTGATTTCTTATCACCATTCAGCAACCATCAATTGTGCACCCCTTCCAGCATCTACAAGGATCTGAATGAAAAGCCTTCACATCACAGATCTCCCTTCTGGGTTCATCTTCCATTTAGACAGGAGAGCCACAGCCACTTTAAAAATCCTTGCTGCTTGAGCCTTGTTTTCCTTACTTGGGGTCAAAAAGAGGGCTTCCTATGATTTCATAAGGATTAAGATTAGGCTTTGTTTCTTCAGATGATCCACACCTCATCCCCACCTCAGTAACACGCCAGGCAGTGAAGACACGTAATGGCTGCCCCTTGCAGCTGCAGTCAATGAAGTTGGGGTATTTTAGCAGATGCAATTTAATTTCCCCTGTTCAGCAGTGCCTGTGGTGTTATGCTTTGCTGCTGTGGCATATTGGCATGCTTAAGGCTTTTTACACTATCAAATAACTTAGTACCTCATTTCACTGGTGGGTGTTGGCATTCTGGTTGGTCACGTCCTGGTTTGCTCCCAGCATCTCTTCTGGAGTGCACTGTCTATTTTCCCCCTCAAAATTAAGCCTGGGTGATATTTGTAGATCATTGGCTTCGGAGACTACCTTCTGGACGGATGAACCCTTCATCACCATCCCAACAGGCCGCTGGTACTCACACAACCTTAGCCTCGTGCTCTAAAAACAACCACTGTATCACCCTGCACCACAATCCTCACATTTTGTCAGGCAACTGGACAGGAAGAAGAAGAAAATTGAAAAATAGCGGGATAATTTAGGGCTACAGAGCACCCCAGAGGTCACAGAGGAGCCCCAGCCAAATGCTAAGCAGAGTGGTCAGCCCTGAACAACTTGAGTATGAGCCAGTTCATCTCATTTCGTGGCCAGGGATCATGCCCTGGGGCTGATGCCTTCAGTAATGTCGTAGCCATGTATTGGTGAAGTGTTTCTCACAGACCAAGGAGCTGCTTGCTTTTGGGAAGGTTCGGTGTGCATGTGTATGTGTGGGTCTGCATTTGCAGAACTGCATTCTGCAGTTGTGGCTTTCCAGAGGATACTAGTGGGTGGTTCAAAAAATATAAAATATATATTATACATATATAATTTGATTATTTTAGTCTGAAATAAGGCCCTGGTAAATTTATATTTACTTGGCAGCGAAGATATAAAAGTTGGTTTGGCAGTTGCATTTAGCAAAATACTGGGAACTCAAGGGAAAAAATATCTCCTGGCTGAGTAGGTTGAACTAATGCTGAGAAATGGGGCTCTGTGAATCTGAATTCAACCCAGCTTTTCAGAGCTACTTACCCAGTCTCCTTCCACCGTTGGCCAACTGACAGAAATTCAATATTTTTCTTTTAGTGAATGAAAAGCATAGTCAGAAACAGCCATTGGGTCAGGATCATATGCAAAAGCTCCTCTTGTGCTTTTGTTTCCTAATTGCTCTTGGAAGGATTTTTCGGACTGGGCTGACACAGTTGTGTGTGTGAATTTCCTGGCAAATAAGGAAGGTGACTGTGTCCAAAAGACATTTAGGAGTGTGAATTCACAGCCTTTCCATGTCTAATCAAGGAGCATAAACCATTAGCCACATGTTCTCCATTTCCATCACATTTTTTCACACTTAAACAAAAACATGCCAAAGAAAAGGTGATACATTTTTTAATACCCTCAAATAGGAACCGTGGGAGTCCGTTAAATGCTGTGGTCATTTCCAGCATACAAATCAATTTTCCTTGTGGTGGTGAAGTGGTGAATAATGCCTGGTTTGTTTAAAGGAGCATGACTGATTTTGGATGAAGGATCCTGTCACTTTGGCATTTTCAGTTTTATTTATTGCACACAACCGTATAAAACCTGGTACTAGTCTCAGTGCCAGGCTCACTAGTGGAAAAGCTGAAAGGACCACATAACTCCTGGTGCAGCAAAGAGGTTCTCCTCCTGCAAGGCATTTGCTGGACTCCTGAAAAATTATTTTGAATAACATGGCAGAGAAGGATTTCATCAATTGGCATCTACTGGCTTTATTTTTTCTTCCATTTTGCCTGTGTCAAGATGAATACATGGAGGTGAGCAGAAGATCTTATAAACCAGTGGCCAAAGTATTGCAAAGTCACCACCAGACTGGCCATAAAGGTTCCAGAAGCAGGGAAATATTGAAACAGCGGAGTCAACTTATAGAGTGGACTGTTGATAATAGCACTTCTACAGACCAAAAAGTCCTGAGACCAGAGGTAGATGATGTAGAACTGACTACCTCAGATAGAGTCCAGGTACTCTGAATTAATCTTCCTAAGATATCTTTAAAGCTAATGAGATCTTTTTATTTTTTTTGCTAAGATTATTAGACATATATTTATGAAATTATTTTTATTAAAACTGTGTATTGGTCTGTATCCTGCTCGTTGCTTTATAGGATCTTCTAATGAGCTAGTAGAACCAGCAGTGGTTGGGGACATTGGTTTCAACATAGACAGCAGCCCTTTATTTTGCTGAAACTCTGATCCTGTGCAATCATATATTCTGATATACAGTCTCTTAATTATTTCAAGGTATTACTTATTTTATGTATGAAAGTTGTAGATTCTGTTAACTCATTTGGGTGTGAAGGAAAATTACAGAATTTATAGAGGTATTTGGAAAGATTCAATTATAACCCAATTATGATTATAAAGAGAATAACTTTACTTGAAAATTATGTATATAAAGTATATTCTTTTGAGCTTGAGACAAGCATAATGAAATTCTGAGTGTTCAAAAATCATATTCTAGGGAATAGCTTGAAAAAAACAGGTATTAATGCAATGAGTAGATTTAATAATATATATCAACTTGACAGTTTCAGAGGAAAAAAACTCGGAATGAAACTCTAAATCATCTGTAGTATATGCATTTTAAACTGGGAATCTTTTTATGCCTTTTACATGGTATTTTAGATATTATAGTCATTAGTTCACAGCAAAGGGAAAATGGCATAATGGGATTATACATAAAATATTGCAGTCCAAATTTAAAAGGAAAAATCTGAAGGGCAGAAGATGAAGCTTTTTCTAGCACTAGGCAAAACAAAATTCTACTCAAATGAAGTTTTTGTTGATTTTTTTAAGAAACAATAAGAACATGACTGTTTTGTTCCTATTGCTGATATAAATGTTTCAGTCCTGTATAGTTCATCTGTTATCAATTGTTTTTTAAAACTCTTTCAATCAAACTATGATATTCTGAATTCCAAAAATCATGGACATACAGACAAGTGTTGAATAATAACCTACTTCATGATAAGCAGAGAGATTTGATTTTAATCCTGTCCTAGGCTTGAAGAACAGAAACACATCCAAGTATGGGAGTAGGTTTAATACACCACTATATTCCCTGTATTTAAATTTCATAGTGCTTTGCATTTCATATTTCTTGGGCAGGAGTTATATGTTCCTCCAGTGCACTCGGCAAAATAGATACTTAATTGTAGGTATGTTAAATTGCACTTGCAGTACATGAACAGCGCAAACCATCAGGTATATAGTCCAATGAGCCAGCTAGTGTGTGCATACCTCTTTACTGCAGAGAGAATTGTGCAGCTGCATACTACAGCCCATGTATTATTGGTACTTAAAGAAGATTTGCCTTTAACTCAATATCAATTTCAGGTAATGCAGGTTTTAATACAAAATTACAACTTTTTTAGGGGTCAAACTCTCCCTCATAGAAAGTGTCACTGTGTTTGGGGTGCATGTGTCTCTCATCAGAGAGATTAATGCAATATGTTTGGAGTTGCCTGCTGGGGGAAGAGGCTGTGACATTAAAACTGAGCCCAGCAAGTCTGAGTACAGCTGATGGCAGTCATTTACCTGCCAGACCCTCTCTAAGAAGCAATCTCTGCTGGGGAAATGATGCAATTTTTGGCTTACTGAAATGAAATGGAGCACTAGCAGATGCATGACAGGGATAATCCATCACAGAGTGGCTGACGCAATAGGTATTTTCCATCTCTAGACTCCAGGCAGAGGAGGAACAAAGGTGGCATGGACATGTTTTAATTAATGTCAAAACTCTCTATTCCCCTTGAGCCATCTGAAAGCTGTTTCATCCCTAAGTCCCTACTTTCTTGGTTATCTTAGCTCTGGCTTGAGAATTTCATCCTCTTGCTAAAGTGTTTTAATGGTCCCACTCCCTGTTGTGGAATAAAGACAATAGCATTGGCTGTACTGGGTACAAGGCCAGTTTCCATGCTGTTGGTAACTTAAATAAAATAAAATAAAATGTGCATTTCTCAAACGCAGGAGATCTTGGTGACTGGGGAGAGCCATGCCAGACACATTCTTCCTTTTCAGGTTGCTCTTTGTACCCCTAAACCTACTGGTGTTTTACCCTGAATTTTGGCAATTTTCATTTGTTTAATTCTTTGCTAGAGAACGGGCATGGAGGGCCTTAGTGCCCACAGAGACATGCTATTTTGCATTCAGAATAGGAGCCAAGAATGGTGGGTGTACATTAGTTGTCTTCTGCACTGTCTTAGACAATATGTCAGAAAACCATAAAATTAATAAGGAATTGAAAAAGGGCTGGGTCTCCAATTATAATTTTGCAGCTTTAAGTTAATGGAATTCTATAGACCATCAGCTGCATAGAACTGTCTCCTACATACTAAATCACAGGAAATTCAGCAAATAACCTCAGAAATATTTCCAGTTTTCTATCTGTATTAGGACATCAATGTGGCAGATGCATTTCACAAGCTCCTAAATCATATTCATGCTCTGAGAGCAATGCCAAAAATTCATTGTGCTATAAAATTTATGTGCAAATGGCGGTGTAGGACATCTTTGGCAAGTAGGTTGTAATTAATCTCTTTGCCCCATTTGAGTGTAATTTTACTTCAGGAACAGGTTTTTCCTTTAAATGTACTTTTCATTAATTTCTCTGTTTTTAGAGATTAAAAGAGTAGCCTGAATATTCATTGTTCTTGGCAGCTGACTGTGAACATTTTTTTCCTTGTAGTCAAAGGATCAGTAAAGATAATAAGTCAATAGTACTTTATGACTTGCATAAGTAGTTATTTTGAAGTCAGTGGAACAGTTTTCATACAGCCAGGCTGGCAGGACTTGCCTCATTTCATACATAATAACCTGCTGAGCTTTTTGAGAGGGAAATGCCACATAGAGTTTGGTTATGACTAGCACTAGTATCTATTTTATGATAACATAGCTGGTTAGCTAATAATGTCGTTCAGGATTTCAGTGCATTGGGTAAAAGACCAAATCTTACTGGCACAGAGAGAGATTCACATGCAGTCCAGTTTGTTGGATTCATGCCTCCCCTTTCCTATAATCCACAGTTCTAAGTCTTTGGATATTTCTAGGCTGATATGACTTATTTGCTCTTATAGTTTGCCCTCTCATTTAACACAAATATGAAGCACTATCAAAAAAGAGCTGGAGATTTTAATCTCCGTGCAACACTCAATATTAGCATTTCAGGTGATGCAAAATACTTGTGCAATTCCAGTCCTCTTGTACTTGGCTCTCCTTCAAGGACTGAAAATGAGCATGAAAGCAGGGCTACTTCTTCTCTCATATTAGGAAAGCTTTAAATAGTGTATCTGGTGATTGTCAGTTATGTTCTTCATAACAACTGGGATAGACAAAACAGCAAGAAACATAAAAACAGGCTCTCCAGGAACAGACAGGCCAACAGGCAAAACTCATTTTTCTCATAAAATATAGACCTTATCCAGAACTAAGGTAAAAAGCATAGTATTGACCAAAACCCCATAAATATGAAGCTCTTCTGCCCATTGGCAAGTCTTAACATTTCCATAACTCTTTGAATATGAAGCATATTTGTTGAGCTGTCAGGTAAGCCTTCATTCCCATGGTAGCTCCACTGTTGGCGATTCCAGTTGGAGAGGGCATGCGCCTGTCCCATTGAGGAGTTGCAGTATTTTGGTGGCATGAAAGGTGTTTTCTGTATCCATAAACATAAACTCCCAAGGCTCTTGAAATTAGTGAATTCGGGGGGTGTAGTTGGTATTGTTCAAAACACAGGCAGAAAGCTTTAGTGTTTAAGATCAAGCCAGCTGATGACCTTAAGGGCAGGAACACAGCACATTTGTATGTTTATTTGGCAGCTCCCATCCCACCAGAAGCTAATTTTCTGCTGTTAAACCAACAGATCTGCATTAGGCAAGTAATTTGAGGATGATAAAGAGAAGTGGAAAGAAAGGGAAGGAAGACAAACAGTAGAAAGAGTAGAGAAAAGTAGCAGTTGGACTGGTGTAACTACTGCCCTCCAGAATTTGAGAACTGCAGATTTGCACCTCAGGATAATAGTAGGGAAAAAGAAACAAAGACAGACAAATGAGAGGGAGGTAGAGAAATAAAATCAAACCCTGGACCTCTACCTCAGCTGACCCATCGGAAGATTTGCAACTGCTAAATAATAGCAAGAGCCTAGTTAGAAAATCAGCCAGGTTTGAATGAGACTCCATTAGTATAAACACAATAATTTGGGAAAGAAAAGCACTGAAACAAAACTATTATCAAACTATTATTACAGGAGCGGAGCTGTGTATAATAAACTCATTAGTTTATTTATGCTGCTGTATTAGTTTCAGTATATAAACAGGTTTTCACAGTTACACACCCACAACTATAAATAATCAAATGTCCATAACACCAGGTGTTGTGATCAGTTCAAATTTTTGTCATGTATCTTGGCACTTTTTTAGGTTCTCCCAACTTTAGTAGCCTGTGAATATATAAGTCTGAGGCCATGAACAGGAATATGCTGCACAGATGTTTCTGAACATCTCCTTCAGGTGGTCCAGCACAGTTTTCTTTATGTTTAATGGAGGATAGTTCATTGCTGAAGGTCAAATGAAGTCCCTTGTGTCCTACCTCTTGTTGTACATAGGCTTGTTTGTCAAGAAAGGTCAGCTGAAATGTGGGATCAGTGAAAAGCAGGATAGGAACCTGACTGAAATATTCATCTAACTTTCATTACTTGGTATTATTTTATTTTCAAAACCTTCACTATTTGACAGGACAAGTTGGGTTTTTTTAATATTCATATAGTTCTTAGAACACTTGAAGAGCTATTCCCTTAAATCTTCCAAAAATAACATCTTCAGGGACAACCCAAGTATGGGAGAATTCAGCCCAGATAAGAAGTGTTTTGAAAACTTAGCAAATATATAAGCAGAGAATATATAATGAAGACCCTGTAACTGACATGCATATGATTGATGCTCTCCATGAATGAGCTATTTAAAGCTTATTTTTGTGCACATAGCCCCCACAAACTGGACCGCAAAATCCAGACTGTAGTTCCTGCTGCCGTGGTGACTTTGGAGTTCGACTCTACCAAGGGCCCCCAGGACCTCCCGGGCCCCCTGGGATGCCAGGTAAAGATGAAGTTTAATTGATTTTTTGATCAGTCTAATTACAGGCTATAAATTACAGGCTATTCTATGAAATATCAGAGAATGGTCCAAACATCAGTATTTGGGGACAGATTCAGAAACAAGTTTTTCTGTAATTTCTGGGGAAACAGAGATTTTCAGTTAGACTCTAAAGTCTTCTCCAGTGAAAATCCATTTGTTATTAAAATTCAGCTTTCACAAATTCATACTGAAAGTAATCTCATTACATTTCTAGGGCAAATTGGTCTCTCTTCTTAAAGTAGCATGAAGCTTCCATTAAAGTTGGAAGAACTTGTTCCCTGCAGTTGATTCTTGCCATCACCTTTGAATATCCAGCTATGCTATTGTGTACTGTATTCAGGAGGTTTTTTTACCTAGCATACTGCCAGCCAATATTTTCCAGAGACACACAGGCTTCTGTTCTCTCATAGAAATTTCTTCTTTTCCTTCTTCCTTCTTGTCTTCTATAACAAAAAGTACCTTATTTTTCCATTAAAAATGCACACAGAAAACCAGGATACACAAGACAAGGGTATACTTTGATCTGATAATTGGTATGGAAAAAGTAGAGCCCAGAGAAGGGAAAAAGGCAGTTAGTTGCGTGTTGGTGTAAGTTTGTTACAGCAGCTACCTTCAGGGATTTGAAAATTGCCATTCCTAAAGCAGATGTATAATGTAAATTAATATGTCACTGACTGACAGATTTGTCTCATCTTCAAAAGCTTAGAACTTCTGTTATCACAATAAACATATAATTTCATAATTCTTCTGTCTCACAAAAGTACTGACAGTAATAGACATGACAGATAACCATACACAAAAAAAATAATGTAATGATATTTGGTACAAGCAGTTTACAGTAACAGTTAAATCTGACTGTTATGAAGTTAAATCTGAGTGAATGAGTTGTTTCAAGAACTAGCTTCAGTGGGCAAAATACTGAAATAAATTGTTACTTGGACATACTTTGGGTATTAGGCAAAATTAGGTCATAGGCATATTTGGTATTGGCCTGCTGTAAGCTGTTCATGCATCAACCTTTTATAAAAATACTATTGACCATTACAGCAGTAAGAGAAATCTAATGGTGAGGCCTCTTGTGCAGAAATATTGCATTACATATTAACAAATTGTTGGTTTCTTAGAAGTGGTACACAATTTTGTGTTAGACCCACACTTTGAAGGATGCAGTGGACATACTGGGACACAGCCCAGTCCCAGCTTTGCCCTTTCCTCATGCGAGGATGTATCTCAGTCACACTTGCTTGTCACCACAGGATGCCACAAATGTATGGCTGACAGCAGCCTTCTGCACCCTGGAATTTCTCTGTCTCCTTCATCTGCTGTATTTCATATCATTGTGCCTGTAAGGGGAACGACAACAGCTACTTTTCCCTTGATTGAATTAAATGTTGCTTGCAGACTTCTGTTCTGAACTGGTAGAGAAGTAGTTCTGGCTTTACATGAAGGATTATTCTTGTTATTTTTAAGAGCTATTGATTTCTCTATCCAAACAAAAATTTGCTTAATTTCTTCCACCATTAGCTTCCTTGTTTGAAGTAAATTTTTTTCTCAATATAAAACTCTGAAGAATCACTTAATCATTAGATTTGATCTCAAACAACACTGTTGTTCTTGTAAATTTGTAACAGAGTGACTAATCAGAGAACAAGCAGAGTGGCAAAGAATCTAATTTCAAGTCAGGTAGAATTAGAACAATGATGACACTAATTAATCCCCTGAGTAATTAACTGAAAGGTCAGGCTTTTGCTTCAGGTAGGCATAATAATTGCTCAGTGATTCTACCCAACTGTAAAATTTTGTCAGTCTCATAGATGTTTGCTCAGTAATTTCCTCAGTAAACATCAGGAAGTAAGTAATACTGCAGGTGCAGGAATATGTTTTTATAATGACCCCTTTTACAAGAAGCCACCTCAGAAAAGCTTCATTGTAAAAATTTTGTCTTTCTTTAAATCTAGGAACATTCAACCAATCAAGCCCTTCAAGCTAACCAGCACCCCGAGAATGTACACTCTCCTGTTTTTGGCAGAGATGGGTCATTTAGTTTGTTTAAGGCTACAGCCGTTCTTCATTTGCATAGACATGTTTCAAAGATAGCAAAATGTTATTCAGAATTATCTTATCCTATCGTAATAAACTTAAATTATCAGGAAATAAGTTTTTACACAAAATGAAAAGCAAAAGTGCTTATGCAGGCTAGCTGGTATGTGTCAATAGGCCGTAGCTTTCGCTTTCCTTGAGCCTCACGTCTGCTGAGGTCTTGTGCTTGCACATCTCCCCAACAATGCAGTAACTTGAGACATTGGCAGTTTATACAGCAACACCAAGAAAGCATGAGAGTTAACTCTTAAACATCAATCTACATCCTTCTGGAAACTTGCTCATCAAAACCTTCACCTTCAGCATAACCACACAGCTGTTTCTGATCCATCACGTTCAATCTGGTTTTTATGGTAGTGAAAAGTCCATGTGTTGCAAACTCGTGGAAAAGGACCCTGTCACAGTTATCTGTTAAAATATATTATATGAAATTATTTAAAATAAACAGAAAGCTCTGTTTCCTTTAAGGAAATCATGGAAACAATGGAAATAATGGAGCAACTGGCCAGGAAGGAGCCAAAGGCGAGAAAGGAGACAAAGGAGATATGGGACCGAGGGGAGAGCGTGGCCATCATGGACCCAAAGGAGAGAAGGGTTACCCTGGGATTCCCCCAGAGCTGCAGGTACAAAATCTCTGGCTTGTGTTGGCTGCAGCAGTTCTCAGGTTATGGTTTTCTTCTCTGAAAAACAGAACCTACCTACTGTAAGATACTTAAGAAGCAAATCCCTCTGTAAATTAATACAGTAAGACATGTATATACCCCTTGTCATGACTGACAAATGTGCTCTGACATCTTTTCCTGGAAAAGAAAGACATCATGGCTTAGTCTTTCTTTAGAGTAAGAATCCAGCTAAGAAATGAGCAGGAAGAAACATATATGGTTCCCTTTCAGGGCAGAAAGCCAGTATATGGGTCATTAAAGGAGAATAGGAGGGAGACTATCATTTTTCTATCAAGCTGTATCACATATATAACTGTGCTTCCTATGGCATATGAAATGAGTAAAGGAGCGACTCAGGCCCATGCTTCTCAGGTTAGTCAGGCTTTGTGAGATTCTCAGACACATATGTAGCCAGCACCTCAAAGTATGGGGTCAAAACCTCTGAGTGCAGACACAAGTCCTCTGGTTTTGAAAAATCCCCCTCAGTAGCTATCTGTGGTTTTATATGTCTAGATACCTTAAGTAAGTTGAGAAGCATGTAGGTTCTGCCTATGAATGAACTACCCAAAAGCCAGATGAGCATTAAAACACGGGTTCAAGCCTGAGCTGGTAAGCTCTGCTGAGGGATGGGATATATTTGTTTGGGCTCAACACTGTGTTGGTGTAGTCCCATAGCTTTTGCATCAGAGCTTCTTCATGTCCCAGGAATCTGGCAGATGGCAGAGAGCTTAT